GCGCACCCTCCACTGTAAAAATGAATCCCATGGCGTGGTGTACTCCCCTTCTCCCGCCCCCGCACCACCACCATGCGATCGCATAGGTACCTGGGATCGCTCCAAGCACAGCCCTCTCGATCTCGATCTCCACCCCACGCCAACACCTGGGTTATGGTGGTGTCTAGACGGAAGTGGCCGGGCCGCTCGTGCGGCGGGATGATCAGACGGCCACGGGCTGCGTGACATTGAGAGCAAGAAAACACCGAAAGGCTGGCTCGAAGATGACAGGAAGACCAAGGTTAATCGAGACAGGCTGATGACCCCCTGCACGGCACCAAGAGGACACGATCAGCCCTGGTGAGATGGGTACCGTCTACACGACATCGAGAGGACGACCAAGACAGATCTATACTGGATGGTTACCGTCTGCGCGACATGCAGAAGGTTGCGAACTGCCTAAGTGAGAGGGACGTCGTCTGCACAACATCGAGAGCTGAACTGAGATTGGCCAAGGCGGGATGATCACCGACTGCACGCCGCCCAGAGAACAGAGGGCAGAGAACCGAGATCAGTCCAGACCGGATGGCGGCAGTTACTGTATATATGGCATCGAGAGGACACAGCTGATCCAAGCCCCGACGACGCCCAAGGTATAGGCGAAGGCGAGACGCACCGGGACAGCCCAGGTCAAGGCGACGGCGAGATGAGCCAGGGCTTTCAATGTGCTGTCAGATGAGCCTATCGACTGTCAGGTCAATTTGTGACACGAAAACTTCTTCAGCCACACACGAAAGAGGCAGGAGTATTTCTTGACATCTAGGCGGAGCCTTGATTCGACAACAATGTGGTTCAAGGAGTGTAAAGGATGGCATGTCTACAGGCTCAACATCTCTACATTCCTTCGCAACTACAAGCTCAGCATCAGGGTTCTTTTGATTGTCGTGTGTTAATTCAGGCGCGTAGTGGTTGAGACAAAGTGATTATTTGGATGCTGCGGTTAGATGGTCGCACGTTATCATGGATCATAATGGGCGCTGCATGACGCGTTGGTCCTTAACAAGCTGCAGGATAAGGCAAAGACAGTTCGTAGACCATTAACCTACGAGCTACATCTCCGTGTCAAAATCTGGCTATCTTAATTATACTAGGTCATATCAAAATGACGTGCTCCGCGCTATCGTAGGTACCAAATTTTGAGGACTCAGTCGTCTCCCTCGCGTTGCCCAGCATGCAGTGACCTCACTGTGGCAATGCCTTAAGTCAAGTTGCACCAGGTCAACAGAGGTCAATCCATGCTTCTTCGGCATAGTGCTAGGCTATCCTAGGTCGATCACGTTCTTCGCCATATGCATAATGCAGCAGTGAAACATGATGCCATGGATGTTTTCACGTGATCTGGAGTGATTGTACTTATATTGTTCTTAATATATATCACACATAAAGCACTAGAGGCGTGCTAACGCTACACCTAGTTTACGAAGCCAGTTTGGGTCAACTTTGTCATAGGCTAGGCATTTGCGAATGGGTTGGCACACCAGTGCATTGCTTTGACTACTACCTGGAAATACTCATGTTCGCATGCATATCTACATATACTTTTCACGTACAGCTTATACGTAATCGTAAATTGATCGAAATGTTTTGACCACCCCTGACCCAAGACACCAGCGGTGACGTTCGAGGCAGTAGGATGCCCAATGCTCTGATTGTGAGGCCCAGAGCCCGGGCTATCAATTTCACTCTGAATAGGCCAAATCGACGGACTGGTCCCAGAAAGACGGAGGGGTGAGGGGAGGGGGGGCACAGCAAGTCCCCTAGTACCTCGCAGCTGTCGCAGCACCTCGGTCAACGCCGGGCTCAGTAGACTCGTCTGCTCCGATTTTCGGCCGCTGACCGGTACCCGCACACGAAGAGGGCCGGATAGACATTACATGCTACAGAATCGGCCGGTGGTGACAGAGGTGGCTGCTTCGCGGTCTGCCGTAAGGGGGCGGGGGGCCTTGTTAAGGCTATCCAACAGTTTTTTTTTTAATGATGAGGACCTCGTGAAGGGTGGGCTGGGCTAAGGCTCATCGAAAAACGTGCACAACGGTGTCAGCGATTGCGTGTTGCCAGTTTGCCGAGTGAACAATCTGCATGTTAAGATACATATCCTGGGCGCCGTAGGACGAAGCCAAGTCGTTTACATATCGGGAGACAACGGTGGAAGTTTCGACAGCCGTAGGTTGCTTAGCATGCTGCCATGCTTACAGGGCACACCATGCGCAATCTGCACGACGTTGTCGTGCTCTAACGGCACATGCTTATTGGAAGAGGGTGTTTTCACCATAGAATGACAATATGCGCCACATACGCGCGGATCAAAACATGGATTATTCGCATTGCACTCATGAAAAGCCTTATTTGGCACCTGATTTTTGTCTGGCACCTGCATACCGAGCTGTCGCTGTTTACTGGGCCTGGCACCTGCAATGCTGTAATTATGCAGAATGTTACCGGATATCCAGCTTAACCTTGAATTTAATAATTACGATATACGGTGCCTGAATTGCTGTATTCCGCACCTCTCTCATTTTCTGACACCTTACTTCGATTGTACCAGAAAACTTGACTTCGATCTTACCAGAAACATCAAAATAGTGGCGTTCCCAGGGATGGTGCCACGTCGTCACATAGGTGTTAGAACAGCATTTTGGTGCTAAACAGCCATCTGGTGCCCGCAACAACTTTTGTAGGACCACGTGAAATGGATGTCCGATCTAAAATATGCAGTCGCTACGCAATGAGCGAGATCCGGGGCCTGGTTGACCAGACTATTTTAAACAAACGCCGGGCATAAACACCAAAACCTGCTTGTTGAGGGATGAAAAACTCCTAGCAATGCCGTACCACGAGCGTCGTTAGGCGGTCGGGGCATGTCCATCGGCGCAGACAAACTTCGACAGGGCTCTCTCGCCCGCTCACGCAGACCAGGCGTCACGATGGCCCCCTCCCCAGCAGCTGCCGCCGGGGATTACGCAGGTGGTCGGACCGAGCCGGTCGGCCCCGGCGGCCCGACGGCGGCAGCCCGAGCGCGTATGTCAACGAGCCGGCCAATCACGGGCCGTGATTTACGGACCGCCTTTACGGCGCGCGTTCGTCCATCGATATACCCGGTGCATTTGATGCCATAGAACTGCCGGTTGTTGAAAAGGCGCCTGAAAAGTCATCGAGCTTTATTGATTAATCAATATTGATGCTCGTGTTATTGGCGGTAATATTTGAGTTTAACTGTTTACCATAATTGACTTTTTTACAACAGATTGAATTTTAAATAATCCTGATTTTTCGATCTTCGCTATCACTAACTTTTGTGAGGTGAGCGAGCCTAGTGGCATAAACGCAGCGGACACCGGAGACCGCACGATAAGCTGATTGACGTTCCGGGCGTCAGAATGCATACCAGCGTCCGATAAAGAGCGCTTCGTAAATCGCCGCTGTTCGTTACTTCGCTTGGCATCACGACTGGACGATTTGATGTGGCATACCGGGAAGTTTGGGTGGGAGTGCCGCCATCAATCGGCCCCTAGCAGCAGCGCGCCAACCGTTTCAGGTTGGTCCTTGGGGCTTCATACCGCACTCAACAGCTGAGGCTACATGGCGTCGCCTGCCTCTCACCCTGGCAACAAGGGCGCGCACCGCGGGGAATCGAACCCCGAACCTCTGGCTTGCCGGGTACCCAGTAAGGCCACCGAAGGGCCATCCACAAATTACCTCACGCATGGAGCGGGATGGAGCGCGGCGATGAAACGCACCGGAAGCGTAACATACGAATAATGTGAGGCTTTCGGCCGCAAAACGTTACGATTAAGTGTGGCTGTGTATCTTACTAAAATATTGAAGACAAATCCACGCCTTAAAGCCGGACGCTGTTTGTTTTCTTTCGTGTCAGGGAACGCGTCCGTTAAGTTTTCACATCTGGTCAAATAACGGACCGAAGCGACGCTGCTTTTTGGCGCCGTTACCCTCAACACAGACTCAACAGGGGAGGGAAGGGGGATGCAAAGTGTAACCAGCGCGTAACCAGAAGGATTGAAAGCGGCCGCAAATGCGTAACGCGATGAATGCACGGCCGCTAAGCTTTCGGTACTCCGTTTGCATCGCCCCAGGATGACCACTTCTGGTCAAATATCCCGTCCGCAACATATCTGTCGCAAGATACGTATGGGATTCCATACAAGTCCCCTTCGCCCACGGCTGGCGGGCTCAACTGCCGCCGAGTTATGCAGCGTGAAGACAGCATGAGCCTTCGCAAAACTGACACCCGGCGGGATCCAACTACAAACAGGCGCTGCCACATTCGACAATGTCCTTCAAGCTGAAAATTGACATATTCACTGCTCTGAGGCAAATTGTCGAAGTCCCAGCCCATGAAGGTCACGCAATAATAAAATGTGTTGCTAATCAAATAGTGACAACAGCAGCGAATCGATATCACCAGGCTGGAAGCCAAGGATAGGAAGGAAGACAGACGACAGTGAGCGCTTCCGGAAAGACACTCCCTTGAAAGTAAGTCCCGTCATTGAAAACCGCTCAAACAGGGCACATGGCTCTGCGATGTCATAAGCACAGCCCAGCGCCACGCGTGGCAGTTTTACCCAAGGAGGGCCTCGACACACCTGACCTCCGACCAAAGCACCAATCTCGGCCTGACCCTGAAGCGCCACAGACGACAGAAACAAAGACGTCATCGACGAGCTCCTGCCGGGACAGCCGAGCAAACGGTCGATGGTTTCGAAGGCGGCCGCCGGACGCCGCGGCGCCACCGTCGCCATGACAACGGCCGCCCAAGCGGACCGCGACCCGATCAATGCCGGGCGACGGGCGGCGCCGACCGCCGGCCGGTGACGAGGCGCCAGTGACCCGCGACCGCGCCGGTGACGAGCCGCACCAGTGACGCGGTGACCGTGCCAGCGACAGGCCACCGGTGACGGAAGCAGCGAGCGGCGCTAGTGACGGCGCCCGGGGACGCACTGTCGGTAGCCGCTGCCGCGCGATGGGGAAGAAGAAGCACGAGCCGCCGCCGCCCACCGGCGGCTTGGACCAGAATGGCCTGGAGAAGCGGCTGTGCAACTGTATCTGCCTGTGCCAGCTGGTGTCCATCCTGTCGGGGGTGGCGCTGCTCTACCTGAGCGTCATCGTCGTGTCGCCCAGCAAGCAGACGCTGGACGCCGAGTTCGAGTCGACGCCAGTCGTCTGCACTACGCTGGAAAACATGCGGAACAGCACCAACTGCTCGGTGCTGTCGTGCGGTGAGTGGTGCATATCGAAGGGCGGCTCCACCTGCGCCATCATCCACGCCAAGGTGCGGCGGGAGGGCAGCGCGGTGTCATTTCGGGACTGTGACCCGGTGCGTGCCACATTCTGCTCGGCACAAGAGTACAACCAAACGCAGCAGTTCATCTGCTCGGAAGGCGAGGACAAGACGGGCCAGTGCGACGCGCTAGACCGCTTCATGGATTGCAAGCCGATCAAGAACAAGGCTGATGACATCAAGACGGAGATGACGTCACTCTGCCGCAACATCACCGCCATCCGCGACTGCAGGGGCACCAAGCCGGACGGTACGCAGGAAAAGGAAATCCACGTCTGCACGCGATACACGTGCAACGCGCTGAACGGAATCTACGAGTGCTCCACCGGCAACTGCAAGAAGCTGGAAAACCCCACGTGCGTGGACCGCTGCTCCAACCTGGACATGGGCAACATGGCCGTGGTGACGCCCGATCTCTTCCACTGGGGCCGCTGCCGCTCCGCCTTCTCCAACGGCACGCGCATCTGGACCGACCAACAAAAGCCGCTCTCCATGTACTGCACGCGCATCCGCAACGTCTCTGCCACCGAGATGGAGGCGGAGGACTGTCTGAACGGCACACTCATGGACGCGCCCAGCTTCCGCCAGATCACCAACTACAAGCAGATGCTGGGCGTGCTAGAGCGCAACGAGGAGCCGCTATTCGAAGACCAGTCGTTCCTGCCCAGCGAGAAGACGGTGGAGATCTTCAACCGCACCAAGGTCATGATCAACGTGCTGGGCTGCGTCAACACGCTGCGCAAGGAGTGCACTACCTGGCTGGCGCATAAGGGCAGGGACGGCTCCGAGGGCATGCATCCGGCCGTCTACCCGTGCTTCATCACGCCGCACGCCACCAACTACGTGATCACGGATTACGACCGCCAGGCGACCGTGAGCCAGCTGGTGATGGCCTCGGCCGTGCCCAGCTGCCTCCTCCTGTTCTCCTGCTTCTGCCTCTGCCTGTGCGGCAAGACGGTCGGCGTCAACGAGTTCGGTCTGTTTTTCTGTAAGCCGTGTCACAAGCAAGATGGCGACGGAGGTAAAGAGCCGGCGAAGCTACGCGCGCCGTGACCAAGTACAGTACCCTCATGTCTCGGCCAGCACGGGTCTGCTCCGACCCTACCGGGTCCCTGCCTCTCTTCTGTCTCTCTATCTCTGCCTCTCTATCTCACGCGCACCGCCTGGCAAGGTCACAGCCCGTACCGTCCACTGACGGCGGGCTCGCGCATCGACCGGCGCCGTCCGGCCGCCAGAGCTGCCCCCGACTCCGGGACGGCACCGGCCGCCCTCCAGCGGCCCGCCCCGCACGGCGCCCGCCCGCCCTGGCGAGCCATGAGCGTGGCTGGCACTTGGCACGGCTTCTGCCTGAGTTTGGTCCCGCGCTTTGACCCGATGCACTTCCTTCATAACGTTCAGAGCTCACTGTAAGGGCCGTTTGCTCAGAAATGAGGCGGTTGCATTCAAGATGCATAGCAACGCCGGTTTGGACGACTGCCGCACTTAATGCCTGATAACTTGTTGATGATCTTTGTTTTAACCTTTTTAGTGAAAAAGCAGTCACGACATTCCATATATGGTACAAATGTTGGCAGCATTCAGCATAAGCGCTTGCTTTAAAAACGGATTACCCCGCAATGTTTTGTCCACTCACGCAAACTTGTTTATTAAACCGTAATTTGCTGCAGCTACGGCGACCACGAAATTGTAACGTACGGAATGTTGCCTCAGTACCAAAAGGCAAGATATAGCTCAGCCGTGATGACGTACGATAACATATTACAGCAAAGTTCATTTAATGTAGAAGAGTTAAAGCATTCCTGCAAATTCACTGCATCCAGAAGCTTTCATTTTCGATAAACCACACCGCAATAATTCGTTTCCGAATCACGGACAATGCACATATCATCATCAACCTATCGCCTAATCTTTATTATCATAAATATTAAGCACATCTGCGGCATGGACACATGCAATGAGCCTAAATGCAACACCACATTCACTACATGGGTAAGAATTTCGCACCACCCATGCAGCGTGTCTTGCAGCATCAACGATGCAATTACTACGTTCCATAACTATGCATCGCTGCAAACACTGCTGGCATAATGAATGGTTGCATACCAACTAATGGCGCCTTAAAATTTCAGCCTTTGATCGCAGCACGGGTCGCCGGCGAAGCTTCGTCGCTTCACAGCCGGCACAACTCGAATTGTCTCGGAGCCAGGCGCGCCTGTTACCGAGCGGCGATTTGTACAACCGCATCAACCCATGAAGAATCCTCGCTTCGAGAGCCTCTAACGCAACCCAGCCTCTTTCAGACCACCGAGCTGGACAGCCTCTGACACGGCGCAGCCAGTTGCAGGGAAGCCTAACTTTTACAGCTCCTGACACGCAACGATGCATTTCAGAGAAAATTGACATAGCATGATGTTGAAGTGAATTTCCACTTCCCTGGCTGGCTTATGACACAGCAGTTTGTTGCAGAGCACAGCTTGGACGTTTCTGCCTGGTAGTTTGTTCTACAGAGGTCCGGCACTAGAACAAAAATTATGCGGCGGGCAAGCCAGACATAGCCTGCTTCCGACATGTCTCTATCTCTGGCAGGCGGCTCAACTTGGAGCAGTCTCTGACACGGCGCGGTCTGTTGCAGAGAAGCCCAATCTGGACAGCCTCTGACACAGCGCCCGGCGACCATACAGAAGTGCCAGCCCCGGGGAAGAGTCCGCCAACCTGCTCAGCCTGGAGGACGAGTGACGTCATCGCCTCTGTCCGCCTCGCCCGCTCGCTTTCCTCGCCGCTCCTCCCCGAGCCGACTTTTGCCTGTCGTGCGCCGCGCTCGCCTGTCTGCCGCGGGCGCCTGGTCTCGTCCCTGCCCCTCCCACTCGCTTCCGTTCTGCGTACGCGCCTGCTGGGCGGTCCCGCGGCTCCGCGCATGTCTCGGCGTCACGTCTAGTGTGCGCCTCGCCGCCCGCTGCCACCATGCCCAAGAAGAAGCCGCACCCGCTGGCGCGCCTGCGCTACTACGTCACGCTCGTTATGAGCGTGGTGGCCATCTTCTCGTTCTTCGCGCTGCTGTTTCTGGTACCGTTCGTGTTCGACCCGGCCATCTCGACGCTTTCGGCCGACTTTCCGGAGGAGCCGGCGGCCTGCAAGCTGAGCCAGGTGCGCGTGGGTGAGCAGCTCTCGGCCTGCAACTGGACGTCCTGCAGCGAGGGCTGCACCGCCCCGCTCACCTACTGCGTCCAGCTGTGGACGAGCGTCTCAAGCGTGCCGTACCGCCAGTTTGTCGCCGACCCGGAAGGCTACGGCGAGCAGATATGGGCCGATAGCGAAGCCCCGCTGCGCATCAACATCCAGGGCTGCGGCTACCCACCACAGCTCAACTGCACCGAGTTCTTCCGCAGCGTGCTCGGCGTGAAGAAAGTCAGCGCCGAGACGGTCAACGACACCAAGCTCCGGCTAGGCCCATTCCCCTGCTATCCGAGCGGCCAGCAGCAGGACCTGGTCATATTCCAGTACGACCACGGGCAGGTGATGTACGCGCTGGTGATGGCGGCCGTGGTGCCGTCGCTTGCGCTGCTCATCTCCATCGGCACGCTCCTGTACTGCCACTGCGACTGCTGCAAGCGCTCCTGCCCGCAATTGCCCATACCCGGCGAGGACGACAAGTGAGTGGCGTCTGCCGCCCCGGCGCACGCCGCCGCCCGCTCCCGTCAGTCGTGTCTAGCTTCGATTGCTCAGCGCTCGGTGCTCATGCCGACAGCATGTAACTTAAAACAGCACCCGACCGCGGACGTAACGTGTCAGCATGTACACAACGCATCGAAGTCACTGCGGTCAGTAGTTGACACCGCGCAGTCCTTTATCAGATGTGCTCATTCTTCAGGCAAGTGAGCAGGGCGCGGGACAGACCGCCCACTTCGTTTCAGACTGGCCATGCTGCCGCCGGAAGTGACCGTCTCCATGGCGACCGACATCGACATCAGCAAGTAGGAGCGGGTCGGAGCACTGCGGCGGCCCGGGCAGCACCAGCGGCCGACAGGCTGAGCAGCACCAGCGGCCGACCGGCTGACCAGCACCGGCAGTCGGACGCCTGGGGTCGGATCGGTCTCCTCCGCCGCCCGCAGCGTCCGGAAAACTCGGTCGCGTTCACTGGCAACCTATCTGTGATGCATCTGCACCCCGCCGCGCGACCTTCCTACAGTGCATTTTGTGCCTTAGTTTGCGCGCCCTCGTGCCTCATTTAATGTTCGCGCGGGATGGAGGAGTCCCCGGCAGACAGAGACTAGCCCTTTGAGCGGCGACGGCAGGCAGTACAAAGTCGACACTGGCGCCTCTGGTGGTCGTTGGAGACAACGTATCGTTAGTTTTGCTAGCGCTAGGTTGTTTTAGCATACCGTCGACGGTTTAGAATGCGTTCGACCTTCCGGCATTCGGGGCACGCCCACTATAATTGCGTGCACCGACTGGTCACGACTAACGCTGTTTCTGATAGGTCGAAGTTCCGTTTCAGAAGCGAAGCTCGCCTTCAAAGCCGACATCGGCCTCGCAAATAACGCACAGCGCGCACTTCATCGGCCCTTGGCCGGCCCCGTGTGTCACCCTGCTTGTACTCGGTGATACGCGACGTTATCAGGCAGACCTCTGCTTACAGCGCGTGGAGACGTGGATCATTCCAAGAAGCGTGTGCTCTTTCCTGCCCTCACGCTGATGTCCACGGACAAAACGGGCCCATAACAGCGCGGAGCAGGCAGGACGCGTACAGTATTAGCGACCAACAGCGTCGGTGACATACAGACACTGTGGTGTGCTGTGAACAGCCCACCGGTGGTAGTAAAATGGAAATCGCACTGCTTTATTTGCACCTAAACTATGTGGATTGTTCATCAGAATATTTAGAAGTTGAACTCATGCATGCCACTGGTATCAGCAGATCTATGAGCTGCTGAACCGGAATGCGGTCTTACGGTCAATGGGAGGTATGGCACACGTCTTTGTGAACTGTGATACCCGCGCGCAATGTACATAATATTCTGTTTCCTGAAGTTCTCGCACGTACCCGCATGCTCACTAGTCATCTAATGCGCTTTGAACGGGTTTCCTGTGAGCGAAGCCCGTCCTGTTTACGATTCGCTTGTGAACGTCAGTTCGATCATGGCGTAAACTTTTTCATCAAACGTCCGAAGGCAATACGATACCAACAGTACATGAGCTGAAGAGTTCCGCCTGTGTTCTCCTACGAGCGACAAACAACGCAGCACACTCACCCGAGTGTTGAGCCCGGTGTGTGGCGACCGTAGCCGCTGCGCTGCCGCAGACCGACCCCGCCACGAGCACGGCAGCAGCGGACGTCCGGCGGCGGCGACGACCATCCTCCGGCCACCTGAAACGACAGGCCTGACCGCGCCTGACCGGGAGCCCCTGACCCCTGAGCCCAGCAGGCAACTGACCTTGATCTCCTCCTGCCGCCGGTACTCGGCCGCCATCAGCCGCTTCTGCTCCTCCTCGGTCATGAGCGGCTCCCGGCCGGGCGCTCCCTGACCTGTCGGCAGCGCACAGGACCACCACCAGTCCACTACGCACTTCCAGTACAGGCGCGGTCAATAACGGGGGACGCCTGCCCCGTCCCCCGCAATGGTGAGGAAATGATGGTGCAGCTGGATTGCATCTGGCATCATCAGCATTCTTCGGCAGGCGAAGTATTCCTCGCGTTCACTACCAGCACTTCTAGAACGTGCCTCTAAACTGATCAACAATCGGCATAATAAGCAGCTGCTGCTCGTCCAAAGCAAGGATTAGTTCCTCAAAAATAAGTACTTAAACAGATTCATTAGAAGGACACGAATATAATCATGGCGAGGCCGGGGAGAGCTGACACGGGCACATGAAATGCAGTCTGGTTCAACTACGACTACGAAATAACAAAATAACTCAAGCATTGGGAATGTTTATGTCACCAATAGCAAACAGGTCTGCGCCGCATGACCCCTCGCAGCCCATGCGCCTGAGGCCCAAGAACATCATGAGATCGAAACACATGAGACCGTTCAGCCGGCTGGGTGACATTTTTGCCAACACGAGCGGGCATCAGCCTTTTCATTCGTTGTTGTCACACAGCTGCTCCAATGCCCACCTTTCTTCTGTATTTTGACCACCAGCTTTGTCTTCTCGTTTTTGCCGACGTAATCGGACAGCTTCTTGCCTCGAAGCATTTCCTTGCCAGAGAACCATAGCTGCGCCAGTACCGGGTCCATCACCTGGCGTCCACGGCGGGCCGTCAGGTAAGCGCCGCCACACCGGGGACGACGGCGCTCCCCAAGCCATCGCATGATGACGTGCGATGATGGTGACATGATGGCATCACGCCATCAGTTGGGCAGCTGGGCGCACGGGCGCCGCCCGTGCTCTGAACTGCACGCTTACAAAGCTGCTGCGCAGATCCGTTTGCGCTCTAATGTAAACGCGCGAATTTGCAAGTGCAACATACCAGCATCATTATGCCACTTCGAGTGCAGCATGAGTCTTGGAGGTGAGTTCAAATGGTCTTACCTGCTGGGAAGCCTGTGTCCCGCTCAGATCTTCCCGATTCTCCAGCTCCATGCGGACGGGATCGTAGGGTGGCAGGCCCATGGGGTAGACGATCATGACAGCTCCCTTCAGCAGAGACAGCGCCTCGCCCACCATCCTCTCCGTCAAGCACACGCCGGCCTTCGCCTGGCTCTGGAACGAAGTCAGGGCGTTGGCCACTGTAAGTGTGCCGTTGGGACGGCAGGGTAACGGCGTGGAGTGTCAGGTGAACATGTGACAGCAGATGTCACATGAAGTAGGGAAGCAACAAAGGCGGACGCGACTTTGCAAAGAATGCTTTAAAAAGGTTTACTTTGAGCCTTTTAACTGCATGAATACCTGAGCACATAAAGCCGTGCTTAGACAGACTGGCGCCCAGTAAAGACGTTGGGATGAAATGTGACCTACTATTTCCTTCATTGTCATTACCCGTGCAGAGCTAGTCAGCCCCTATCTCACCCGACAGTCCCATCCGGCGCCGTACCTTGCTCACGATGGCTTCGGCCTCGGCCATGGTTTTGCGCAACACCTCACGCATGTTCTCCTTGGGCGCGCGGCCGTTCCGGCGTCCGATCGGGTCGGCGCACGGCTCGTACCCGCCGGAGGGCACGCAGACGTCGGCCTGCGCGTCCATCAGCTTCAGCTCCTCCACCTGGTCGGGCGTGAGACCGACCATCTCCGGCGGCAGCGCGATGCCATGCTCCCGTAGCTCGGCCAGCTCTGTCGGCAGAGTCGGGCCGGGTGGGGCGGGCCGCGGACACGGCAAGCTCGCAGAGGTGGCGCGATGCACGGAGAAGAGCGAAGCTCTGTGTGTGCTTGTCTGTTGATGCTGCAGGCATAGCTTTTGTAGTGATGTGCAGCCCCCCAACGCCCGTGAATGTGGCTTCCTGCACTGTCCCAATCACAAGCAAAAAATGTACACAGTACATCCCATCAAATGCTACAAGTTCTAGCCGAAATTGCGAAAGCTTTTCAGGGCATTCGTGAACAGCATTATTCACATCGAGAACACAGTAGTAATAACCTTATCCCGCGAATACGGCTATATTCCTCAAATCTCGGAAGCCTAAGTGCCCGGGTGGCAATAGATGTCATTATGCAGGTCTGGGTTTTGAGGGGCTTGCACGCAAAAGACGTGGTTTACGAAATCAGGTGCAAACTGTGTGAAAAACATGGGAGAGGCATACTCTATGTCGGGGAGCCCAGGCGCCCCATTCGTTTGACATGATGAACACCTGCGAGACGCTAAAACCAAAAAAGGGAATACTCAGTTTGGTGACCATTTTCTGGCAAAACACACTCAGCCTGAAATCAAGAACGGTATGGACTCTATGCCCCTTTTACGACTCAAAGTCATCTGCAGAGCACAGAACCACCCAGACAGAAATATTAGTGAGTATATTCTTACTAAAAATTAGACGACCAAATCTTAACGTACGGGGCTCATCACGGCCCATTACGCGAACGTGATGTGTCTTTATGCGTGTGTGTGCTAGCTTCAAATTATTTACATGTGTAAGCGATGCCTGGCACGCGATGCGCAATGCTTGTTCAATTGAAATTGCTTGCATGTATAATTGATGCGCGATATGGGATGCCTGCTTACTTCAACTCGCTTGCACATTTGAATGAAGCGCGATGTGTGGTGCCTGTTTCCTTGAATTTGTTTTGCACGTGCACGTATTTTCGCGTATTCTAATTTTTAGATATACATTGTGCCGTGGTAACATCTGGCAATCACTTCTTGCTTAGTCCCCAGAATTTTGGTGTCTTATAAAAGTGTGACTTATTGTTTCAATAACAAGCCTGCCAAATCGAGTAGCATAATCTACAGGCAACTCTGAATTCACTTCTGCTATTGTTTCAATAAAGGCATGTTGCCAAAATATAAACCAATCTATTTCTCCATTCTCCTAATTTGTTTTCTCTGAGGAATAATGTTATTACTATTGTTTTAGTGAAGTTCTAGCCAATATGAACATTCAAAGCCAGCTCAAAAAAGTACCTGGTACTGCTTAAACAATATGCTTTTACATGATCAAAACACAGATGCTATTAAAGACATTGAAAGTAAACACTTTTCCTTACCTGCACAAAGCCTTTGCACTTTAAGTCTGCCATTGAAGATTGCAGTAACAACTGGTATTGTTTCATCCAATGTCTCTGATGTGCTTGTCTCATACAAAAATTGTACCTCATCAACATGCTTTATGAGCAGGAGAACCATTTGGGCTGAAACAATCAGTTACTGTTGGCACAGTCAACCAATGTGCCAAGATATTTAAGAGCAAAGAGAGGGGCAATGCAGAATCATTACACTGTAGACACATGAAGTAAAGCAAATCAAAACACAATGGAATACAGGTAACAACACCAATTAACATGGATACCCTAGTCATCTGTGCTCATAATATACCAACCAAAATCAACCTACCTCAAGCTTCAAACAAAATCTGCACTTGAATTTATGAACAAAGCCCTTGCATGAAATTTCCTTTACCATGGACCATGCTAAATTATTTGCTGCATTTTGCAGGGTATAACATCTGCACATCCATTCCAAATAATGGTAGTGTGTATAAGCACACCATAATGCCTCAGATTGAAATCAATAGTCACTTCAGGCTTTCTATGAAGGTACGCATTTCACAAAAGTGGCAACAGTGTATTCCCCATCATGCATCTGCTTGAGATGCAGAATTGAAGGAATTGTAAACTTCAATAGCGGCACAAAGGCTGTAATTTGTCTCGGCAAAAAACGCTGGGGCACAAATGCATACGCACGAGATTCAAAATAACAAATTAACCTCAACATAAATGCCACTTTTCATAACGGAGGAACACGAAACATTTACCGAGGAAGAACTACCTCCCACCGCGGCCTAACGCAGCACTCATTCGAGCCAACGCGCGCCAGCGAATAATACTGGTCTTTGACTAACCTGGCGCCAAGCAAAATGTTGTCATGACGACGGAGGCACGATGGCGCACGATGGCTACTTCTTTGCTAAAGGGATACTGTGGCTGGCTGATGGTGCTTGTTCCATTCACATTTGTCCATAACCAAGGGCCAAAACTATTTGAAGGATGCAAAAACGGGAAAATGCTCCATTCGTCGGAAAAACGGCCCATGATGCGTCAAGGCCTGTTAGACGGGGCGGAAGACGAGGTGGAGGAGGAAGGACGGACCATGGACCCATACCGCAAAACCAAGAATCCGTGTATTTTTAGGCTCGGTTTTCGTGTAGCTGGGAGAATTCGAAACCTGCCCGGGCTCTGCGGGGTACACCACTGCGTGTACGCCATTGGGGCTTTTACGATGCACTCAGCTGCTGAGGCTATATGGGGCCGCCTGCCTCCCACTACGGCAGGAAGGACGAGCATTTCGGCGGATGGAACCCTGCACCTCTGGTTTTCCAGACGTGTGGCGTGGTGGTTAACGCAGGTGCGTTAACCACTACACTATCGACACCCATATACATCACTTCATTTTGGAGACCGGGAGTTCTGACCTACGGCGAGTCATCATCCCTACGCGGCAGAACCGGAGCAACAACAGGGCTGGGGCACTGGTGCAGGGATTGTGTGGACAGCACGATCGTAGCCAGAGGCATAGTTCCACAAAACGAGTGGGGGAGGGGTTGAACAGTGAAAAATGACCCAACCTTCCCCCAAAATATGCCACCAAACAGGTTTCTCTCAAGATCTGGGCAACTCTCCGCAAGTTGGAGCCCAAATTGACGAGAGGGGCGGGGGAGGGGTGAGGCCTCCTCTCTCAACTGAAAGGAAACCACCCCTTGACGGTGACGGTATATATAGCCATGCGACCACCGAGGCAACACGGCCCTTATTACAGCCTCTTTCCGCACGTGCGACGCTCCTGAACCTGACCCTGTGATACACGCCTGGCCATTCCTGAGGGCCCGTTGGAAGCACAAGGGAATTTGGACGGCGTTCGCGCTTGACCGATGTCAAGCTAATGCGCTTACGATGCATGGATGCATGCGCATCTTCATCAGGATGAAGACGTGCCTGCGTCGTCAATCCTGACTGAACACACTGAACGCATTCAACCCTGAATGCACTGTCCAGCAACTTTTGGGCACACACAGCCATTTTCTTTGAGAAACGTCATGTTTGTTAATGAATGGTACTGCCCCTTCACTCGGACAGCAGCAGTGGATCACAAAAGAAGTTTCCCGTTTTCTCACGTCCACAGGATTCTCACACCGAAATTAGTTATGATGTGTTCTGCTAAGTGGTTTTCGATGTTGTACTTTTCAAAAATATGCTCGAGTTCCACCCTGACTTAACTTGAAAGCACCTTTCACAAATCGGCTCTGAAAAGAAATTAACTGTCTTATTTTTGGCGCAGCATGGACGCAGGTGGAAGCATTCAGACATAGCTTTCCCTTGGCAGACCATTCGTCACAACTGACAGCTCACAGTCCCTAATCCCATCCCGCGTGTTCAATACCCGGAGGGCATGAAGCCTCCCGTGCCTTAGCGCGTGGTCGATATGTCGCCACCCCTCCGCCAAAAGCGGCGGAGCAGGCGTCAGCGCCGGCCACACGCGGGCCTGAGCCGAACACACAGCCGACGGTGGTGTAGGTATATATGTATTGGTGGGCCACTTCCGTGCCACCCCCCGAGTGCATCGGCACGCGCGGGCGCGGCAATAGCCGGAGTTCCATACCAGCAGGCCGACACACTGACAACGACGGCTATAACAATCCAAACGCTGTGGGCAGGCGGGCGCGGACGCCGGGACGACATCGCAGGATACGTAAAACCCGATCACACTCGCGTGGGGTTCGCTACACTCGGTCCTCATCCGCGAGTGACTATTGCGTAAAACACACGGCATCGCCGCGATGCTGCACGTCAGAAGCTACAACGACGCCTCCGTCACAGCCGTCAGCTTGATGCGCGTCCACTGGCTGATGCCCGCCGTGCAGTGGCCGACGGCCGACTGCCAAGTAGCGCGCACTTCCCGAGGGCGCGGACTAGTCGATACCCTCATAACCCCGGGCATGCGCCACGCCGGACCTGATAAACAATATAGGGATAACAAAGGTGGACTGCACACGTCACAGAGGTGACGTGACGTCACAGAGGTAAAATGGACAACTAGCCGCGCCCCACCGAGCCCGCCTCCATGTCAGCATCACCCACACTGGCCACTCGAGCTGACCCGCCCAGCGCGGGTGCCCACTACTGAGTAAACACGCGCCACCCAAACGCGGACGCCGTCTGCGCAACGGTTGCGCCAGCAGCCGACGCGTGAGCTGCCGGCGCGTGCGCCCACCATGCGCCCGTCAGCCGCCACTGGCCGGACGCGCCACCTGGCCACCTCCGCCGCCGAGGAGCCGGCCGGGCCGACATCACGTGACGCCGGGCCGCACGAAGCCGGACATGAGTGACTGCGGCAGCGAGCTCAGGTACTCGTCGCCGTCCGACTCCACCTGTGGCGCAAGGAGGCGTGTTGCATCTTGTTTGTGCTTGAAACGCGGACGCTTTGACAACGCTTGAGGCTTTTCTCGCGTCTGCCAATACGCATAATGATCGGATAAAGGAAGATGACTGGCAGAAAACCCACAAATTACAGAGGGTTAAAGTCTACAGAAGGAGGGGGCGGGGGTGACACGGCGTACAGCAGTGCTGTAACATCCCCGTAGTGGGAAGGACGCTAGGCCAACATCACGCCAAATCGTATGCGGTGGGGCGATGGGAGCACAGAAGGCGCGGCGCCATGGGACTGACCGATAGTGCAAAGCGCATGCCCCATCAGCCTTGAGTGATCACGAAGGTCTAGCAACGCACGGCCTCCTTAACCTCGAGCACGGTCCGTGACCAGCCTGGCCACCCGTGAGTTCACAGTTCCACCAACAACTGGCCATTAGTGCAGAAACAAACCGTCACTGCATGTGTTGTCAACCGACAAGCAGGAACGATCTGATAACCGCCGGATGTCTCCACCACACCTTGATACATGGGGAGCTGGGTGTCGCTGGACAACTGCAGGAGCTCACCTTCACGAACGGGTGGTCTTCCAGCCGGTGGGCCTGCGCGCGCTTCTTGGGGTCGTGCACGAAGCAGAGCTCGAGGAACTGACGGCCCTCCTCCGAGAGCTTGTCGGGCAGGGACGGCGAGCCGCCCATGCCCACGCGGAACATGATCTGGTACGTGTCCTCCAGCTCAGGGAACGGCCGCTGTGGACGGTGGACTCGTCAGCACGGCGGGGCGGGCCGGCAGCTCAGCCGACCGCCCTGGCAGGCCCGGATACTGTCCGCGCCGACTCAGGCTCGGCTGTGCTGTCCAGCTCAGCGCCTCAGCGAGACGACCGAGGAAACCGGCGCGCAGTGACAGCATAACGACTCATCCGACGGGCGCGTCAAACCCTGCTCTGCCGCGGACCCGGAGTACCCAACAACGAACAAGCTCTGTCTATTTCAGTCAACACACTCCCTTTGCACCTGATCGACTCATACGGCCAGCGAACGTGAAACACTGCGCAGGGAGCGTCGCGCCCGACCCAGCGGCACCTCAAACGTGCGGCAGACACTGCGCTGTTCCGACAGGTCTAGAGGCACCCGGCGCGACATCAGAGACGCTGGACCAGCACACCGCGCGCCCCGGCACTCACCTTCCCCGTGGCCATCTCGACGACGCAGCAGGCCAGGGACCAGATGTCGGCGGCGCGGCCCTGGCCCTCGCCGCTCGAGCGGGTGTACACCTCGGGCGCCATGAACGCTGCAACAGCCGGCCCGCGCACACGTCACCGGTGCAGCCGTCCTGCGGCTGGCCGCGAACACAGCCGCCGGCACGGGCTGACAGTTACTGAACACGGACCCAGACAGGGGGCGAGACGACTGGTGCAGCCGTCTTCTCTCGGTACCACCGTTCGCGGCGCGCTAGACTTACGCTGGTAGATAATGAAACACCAGATAGTCTAATTTCAACACTAACTAGTTCATTGAACATTCCCTTATCCCGCGTAGACTTGCGGGTAACCTTAAGGCCACGTTGTCTTGGAGATTACCATCATCCGAATTCAGCACATTCAAAACTAATCCGAGATCAAACCACGACTTTGTCAACAGAATCGGAGTACCCTTAAAATTGTGTTTCTCCCCCTCCTCCCCACCCAGCCAGACAGTAGGAATCAGAATCAACCCCTCGTCTCGTACACCGGGCCCTGCGTTGATTCCGATGAATCGAAACTAAACAGCAATCTGAGTCCCACCCACGCGCCAGGGATGGGACAGACAGCACACGGGGTGTACCCGGCCGTGGCGGTCCACCTCCCGGCCGGCGCCGGCGCACGTACCGGGCGTGCCGACCAGGCCCTTGACCTCGCCTTGCATGGTGGTGTGCGCCACGATCTTCACTGAGCAGCCGAAGTCGCCCAGCTTCAGGCGACGGCACTCGTCCGTCAGAAACACGTTGGCGCCTGCGGAAGGCGGGCCACGGTCAGCCGGGACGGGGGCGAAGCTGGACCTGGGGTCGGACGGGCAGAAGGCAGAGCTGCCCCGGCGGCGACGCAGGCGGGGTGGCGCCCCGCTCCGATGGCCTCCGTCAGAATCTGGGGCCGCCGGCCGAACGGCATGCAAGGTGGACGAGATATTTGGAAGATGAGAAATACCCTAGGACATTATTTGCATCACCTCAGATTTTGCACCAGCTGCGCGGCCTTACACTGTCGGGGCCACACGTCAACTGCAGACATGCAGCTAACAGTGTTTCATAAACCCCCAATGTCGACCCCAAGGCTTTGACTCTTTGCCGTGCTTCAGAAACAAATGCTTCAAAGGAGGCTGTTAGCTGGTGGACACAAATGGCGTGCATTAGCAGGCTACAACCGACGCAAAAAAGGGTTCGATAAACAAAGCATCGGAGTAACCCGAACATCGTATTACGTAACATGCAAATTATAGACACAGACAAGTTTACGTTGCGATGACCTCATTGCAACTGCCACTCGTCACGGCGTAAAAAACATTCCTTACAATGCCAGCAATTTGTTGTAGCCGGCAAATCCCAGCGAGTCATTAACACTCCAGCGACACATGACGAATGATGAGCATCCGGCCGTGATCCGTCAGGGCCACTGTAGCGCCTCCAACACACTGCAGATGAGTAATCCACAGCCACATGCCCGCACCAAACATCTTCATTAATATCTACCAGAAGCCAACAGCTTCGGAGGTGAGAACGCATTGGGACATCATTCACGTTTTATTACGACCTCCGCCGCCACCGCACGCGGCCTTCGCGTCCGGGCTGTAAAGTGCCAGCCAAGGGTACTCCAAGCCAGCCGCCGAGCCGCGTAACATACCGCCGACCGCCGAGCACTGAGTACCACGAGCAGAACACACCGCAATCTCACTGCCGGGCCGCCGACTCGCTGACGAGGGCCGGGGCTCGCGCGCGGAGCGCGAGGGGGGGGGGGCGCCAGGGGGCGGGAGTGGCGCAGCTGTCGTCGCACCCATCAGGAGAGACCGCCGACCAGGGGGGGGGGCGCAGCTGTCGTCGCGGGGGGGCGCCAGGGGGCGGGAGTGGCGCAGCTGTCGTCGCGGGAGGGGGGGGGGGTGTCAGGGGACGGGAGTGAGGGGGGGGGAGCCAGCAGGCGGGAGAAGCGCAGATATCGTCGCACCCATCAGGCGAGACGGGCGACCATGGGGGGGGGGGGGGGCGCAGGGGGCGGGAGTGGCGCAGCTGTCATCGCACCCATCAATCGAGACGACCGACCAGGGGGGGGGGGGGGGGGCGCCAGGGGGCGGGAGTGGCGCAGCTGTCGTCGCACCCATCAGGCGAGACGGCTGACCAGGCCGAGGAATTCAGCCCGTGGCGCCGGCCCGACCTGTCGCCGAACGGGCGCGCTGACTCACCGGCCATCGCAGCGCCGCTACTTTGGCCCGAAACGGCCGGCCAAACAGGCATCGCTCATTCCGCTCGCCGACACATAGCGCGCTTGTGTAAACAGCGACGGCTGGCCCGCTCGAGTGATGAAGCCGGCGCTGACTTATCGCGCAGAAAAACGCCCACAACGCGGCGGCCGGTTACCAGGCCGGGTGAGGCGGATGTGACCGCCGGCGGGCGACAGGGGTGGAGGAGGCGGCTCCCAGAGGCGTCATACATTGGCCAGAGCACCGAGATCACTCGGTGGCTGTTCTTCCCGCAAAAACGCCCGCGGTACAGCGAGCACAGGGTGGTGATTATTGCCCGCTTCAACATGCAAGATGGTTTATAAGCACAACATTCAGAAGCTGAGCAAACACATGGAGGTTTACGACAGGGGAAACTGCATAAACATGGCTGCTCAACGACATTTTTGCCATTGAACAGAGTCGTGCAGAGGAGGGCGAGGAATGTCTGTAACGCATCACACAGCGTGCACTGGTTCCGGAGCAGCGCCCCTGCCAAGCACTAAGCGCGATCGCGGAAGGATTAGTAAACGTCGATCCCAGGGGACCGTCGGCGACGGCGCCGCAACCTCCACGGTTGGCAGCGTGCTGCGGCGTCGCGCCCGGAACGCGTTGTAGCGCGTCACACACGTCAGCCGAGCTCTCGGGGACTCCGTCACCCAAGCACGTGTCAATCAGCGCCAGCCATGCGCGCGGCGCCTCCGCAAAGGTCCTCGGTCAATGCCGGGCCGACGGGTTCAGCGAGACGGGTCGCCGCTTGTCAGCGGGCCCGTTCGAGCGACCTTGCACGCTTGCGTGCACGAGGTCACCGCGTAGAAACCTCCCGATGACTTCACACTCTCCGAGTCGCCTGGCATGTGCAAGAGGCTCCACTTCGGGCCGCCCTGCCGCGGCCCGGCCGCCTACGGCAGCGCGGCGGAGCCCGGCCGCCGGGCGTCACGTGACCTGCGGTGGTGGGCGGCGCCGGCGGCCGGCGGCCGGCGGTCCGCACGTGCCCGACGGTGGGCGTCGCGTCCGCCGCCACGCCGTCCATGATGGACGGCCGGCCGCTATTAGCCGGGCCATCGGCGCGGCCCCGGCATCGCTCACAGATCTGTTGAAGCCCCAATTTCTTTGCCGGCATACCAGTGGCGACGCGGCCCGGAAATAGCCGCCAAGTGGCGGCGGCCGGGTGCGCTATATGCGGCCGGCGCGGCGGCGGCGTGTGTCGGTCGGGGGCGCCGGCGCTGGCGCGTGAGCTCGCGGCCGCCGCCGGCAGCCCGTGCATCAGCCCGGCGTCACAATAAGGCCGGGTCAGCGGAGGTCGGCGGCAGGCCACGACTGACATCGGCCGCAACACGGCACGCCGCCGCCCGGGCACGGGGCCTCCACCCCACAGCAGGGCACGCCAACTGGCCAGAGGCGACCACGTGCCGCGCCTCGGGGTGTCTCCGTCGGAACAGGGGGCGACCACGTGCCGGGCCTCGGAGTGTCTCCATCGGAACAGGGGCGACCACGTGTCGGGCCTCGGGGTATCTCCGTCGGAGCAGGGGCGACCACGTGCCGGGCCTCGGGGTGTCTCCGTCGGAACAGGGCGAGCACGGGCCGGGCCTCGGGTGTCTCCATCGGAACAGAGGCGACCACGTGCCGGGCCTCAGAGTGTCTCCGTCGGAACAGGGGCGGCCACGTGCCGGGCCTCGGAGTGTCTCCATCGGAACAGAGGAGACCACATGCCGGGCCTCGGGGTGTCTCCGTCGGAACAGGGGCGAACACGGGTCGACCTCGGTTTAGCCTTCACCGTAACTCGACTCTGGAGGTAAACACGTCTCCTGCGAACGCTCTGCATCGAGAAGTGACCCGGCAACAGCAGAACATCGATAACACCGGCGGTCGCTGGCAGGCAGTCGATGATTCGTCGCTAAGTAGTGGCGACGGAGAGGACATTCTAAGTGCATGCTACAGATCATCAGCTATTGCAAAAGAACGCCAAATGCTACAAAGACATCTTACGCCCAGACACATATGAACGGTAGAAAACTTTATAACAGCGAGCGAGAAAATATTTCGGAAACACCGTCATCTATCTTTCTGGTAGCTTGAGGTGCATCGCAACATTCGATATTTAGCATGCTAATGGCTCAACTGATTGGTGATTAATAAATTTCCCGTGTGTACTAATGTGCTGGCGGGCACAGCCGCAAATAACGCCCTACATCTATGACCGCCCATTCGTATGGCGGGTGTTACTATCTTGATATCAATGCCATTGCGTATATGGTGAGAGCGGTAGAAAGTAGTGCGAATGGAGATGAACAATGACCCGCCTGCTGTGGTGGATGGTGTGACGGGAGTGTACACTAGAGTGTACTAGAATAACACTTCTTGGAAAACTTGGTGCTCAGGGCTTGTCTGGTTCTCAGCTTCCAGGCGAGTTCATTGGTGCGATTTTTGTTGAAATTCATGCATGTGTAGGGATGCGTGCAGAGGGCTTAAAGTTCAACAGTTCTCAGCTATTTTCGTTTTAAGGGGACCAGCCAGACATAAGCATCCAGTTGGTGGGTCACTTCTGCCAAAGGGAATATGTGAAGGGGGAAGCAGCAATGCTTAAAACCGGAAATATTTTAAGCTGCGTCGAAATGGGCATGAAACAAATCTTTGCGATCATAATGGCTCGATGGTGTGTGTGTGTGTGTGTGTGTGTGTGTGTGTGTGTGTGTGTGTGTGTGTGTGTGTGTGTGTGTGTGTGTGTGTGTGTGTGTGTGTGTGTGTGTGTATGTGTGTGTGTGTGCGTGTGCGTGTGCGTGTGCGTGTGCGTGTGCGTGTGCGTGTGCGTGTGCGTGTGCGTGCGCGTGTGCGTGTGCGTGTGCGTGTGCGTGCGTCGTGCGTGCGGTGCGTGCGTGCGTGCGTGCGTGCGTGCGTGCGTGCGTGCGTGCGTGCGTGCGTGCGTGCGTGCGTGCGTGCGTGCGTGTAGGGGCAGATATGATCCCTTTTTAACATCTTCATGACTTTAGCCGTTCAGTTCCCTGTTCGACCTCGACGAACAGAACAGAAAATGTCAGCTATATGAAATAGTATTGCACGTGCCAAGCAGATCTTTATGTTACATCGTTACTCAGTAGAATAAACGCAATAAACACAGAGTGTACATCGGTACACTTCAAAGTGTGTCCGGTGCACAGTTTTGAAATGTGCTCATCTTCCACCGGTGGACTCTCACCTCTTGCAGAAGTCACTGCAAATGATCCCTGTCACCAGCTAAAATGGCTATGAAGTTCTCAATCATTTGCATATCTCTCTGGTGAAGTCTTTTATAACGTTTGGCCACCGGTCAAAAGCATGATAAGACGGGTAGCCGTGGTCGGTTTACAATGCAGCGGTTGGCTTGCTTAGCCACCGGCCCATACTGTTATGAATAAGTGGAAAATTAGCCAAGAGAACTAATCTCCCAACTCCAACAACGCTTGCTCTCGAGTTGGTGAGTGTGTAGCATTTTCAAACGCATTCATCATCGGCGTGGACGAACAGCGTCAAAGCTACGGCTGCTTTCTTCATTATCGCTGATGCCACCCGGAATCAGACAGAACTAACCGTTCCGAGCCTCAAATGGAGACGCAACCCGGCCAACGCTGCTCAAGCCGCGGGCCTGTCAGCCGGGCGGTGGTGCAGCAGGTCCTGGTTAGGTTTCAGGTCACTCCTAGGGGCGTCAGCCGGCACCGGTTGCAGACAGTCATGCGGGTACACCGTCCGCTGATGCCCTTAAGGCAGACCTGAAGCTGTACCAAGCCCTGTGCACTACCAGACGGTAAACAGTCCCGTGGTAGGAGCACCGTCTGCTGATGCCTTTAGGGCAGACCTGAAGCTGTACCAAGCCCTGCGCACTACCGGGCGGTTAACAGTCCCGTGGTAGGAGCACCGTCGGCTGCCATGTGTCACCACGTGACCTTTTGGAGTTCTGTCTGGTTTCGGGTGGTGACCGCGATAATAAAAAGGTAGCCATGGCTTCGACGCTGTTGTCTGGCCACCGACGACCGACCGTCAACGACGTGTGACCGACGCTATTGCCATTCACCAGTGCCGAATTATTTTGAGGACGTTGCGCCGCTGGTCAACTGGAACACTCGATTGCCAGATATGGTAGATGAATCCCCTTGGCTGGTATTCCAGCTTATTCAGATCGATGTTAGTCGGTGAGTAAGCTGGTGTTAGCCGATATTAGCCGGTGGCTAAATTGACCAACGGGAAGCGAACGACCGTCGTTCGCTTCACAGTGATTTTGAGCGACGCACAACAGGTTTCTAGTGCCGTTGCTGAGAAATGTGTGCCAATGACTGAGATTGAGATCGCAGGCACCGTAGCCGGTGACCAGGATCATCTGCAGTAGCTTCTGCAGGATGCGGAAGCCCACCGGTAAAAGGTCACCAGTTCTGATAAGCAAGCGCCGGACACAGTTCGATGCGTGGCGACATACAGCTTGTGTTCATAACAAGCATTTAACGGAGTAACGATGCAACGCTAAGGTTTGTCTGGCACACATAGTTTTAGTTACCTTGGCTTGCCATTTCATTTTCTGTTGGTCGAGGTCACACAGAGGATTTTCTGTTGGTCGAGGTCACACAGAGAGGTTAAAGTGACTTTAGATATTTTTACCCCTCTATCCTCTGTTTGAAGATTTTTAGAAAAAAACGTCCATGTCGATGTTAATGTCCTTTTTGCAGCGCTCCCCAGGCCCCATACGGGCAAACATTTTTTATACTTCCGAACTCTGAGCTTTTTGCGCACCCCTCAAACATACATGAACGTTGATGAAATGGCACTACTGAACTCGCCCTGAACCGAAGAACTAGACAAGCACTGAGCACCCATACTCCTTCGAAAGGGTGTGATTTCGAGACACCCTAGCGTACAATGACCCCGATGTCGCGGTGAACGGTGTGACGAGAGTGGACACTGACCCTTGATGTCGCGGTGGATGATGTGGTGGGAGTGGGACACTGACCCTTGATGTCGCGGTGGACGATTTGACGGAGTGGACACTGACCCTCGATACCGCGGTGGATGATGTGGTGGGAGTGGACTGACCCTTGATGTCGCCGTGGACAATGTAACGGGGGTGGACACTGACCCTTGGCGTCGCGGTGGATGATGTCGTGGGAGTGGACACTGACCCTTGGTGTCGCGGTGGATGATGTGGTGGGAGTGGACACTGACCCTTGATGTCGCGGTGGATGATGTGGTGGGAGTGGACACTGCCCCTTGGTGTCGTGGTGGATGATGTGGTGGGAGTGGACACTGACCCTTGATGTCGCGGTGGACAGTGTGACGAGAGTGGACACTGACCCTTGGTGTCGCGGTGGATGATGTGGTGGGAGTGGACACTGACCCTTGATGTCGGGGTGGACGGTGTGACCGTAGTGGACACTGACCCTTGATGTCGCGGTGGATGATGTGGTGGGAGTGGACCTGAACCTTGATGTCGCGGTGGACGGTGTGACGAGAGTGGACACTGACCCTTGACGTCGCGGTGGACGGTGTGACGAGAGTGGACACTGACCCTTGGTGTCGCGGTGGATGATGTGGTGGGAGTGGACACTGACCCTTGATGTCGGGGTGGACTGTGACGGAGTGGACACTGACCCTTGATGTCGCGATGGATGATGTGGTGGGATGGACACTTACCCTTGATGTCGCGGTGGATGATGTATGGGAGTGGACACTGACCCTTGATGTCGCGGTGGACGGTGGGAGTGGACACTGACCCTTGGTGTCGCGGTGGATGATGTGGTGGGAGTGGACACTGACCCTTGATGTCGCGGTGGACGGTGTGGAGTGGACACTGACCCTTGATGTCGCGGTGGATGGTGTGGAGTGGACACTGACCCTTGGTGTCGCGGTGGATGATGTGGTGGGTGGACACTGACCCTTGATGTCGGTGGACGGTGTGACCGGAGTGGACACTGACCCTTGATGTCGCGGTGGATGATGTGGTGGGAGTGGACACTGACCCTTGATGTCGCGGTGGATGATGTGTGGGAGTGGACACTGACCCTTGATGTCGCGGTGGATGATGTGGTGGGAGTGGACACTGACCCTGGTGTCGCGGTGGATGATGTGGTGGGAATGGACACTGACCCTAGATGTCGCGGGTGGATGTTGGGGAGTGGACACTGACCCTTGATGTCGCGTTGGATGATGTGGTGGAGGACACTGACCCTTGGTGTCGCGGTGGATGATGTGGTGGGAGTGGACACTGACCCTTGATGTCGCGGTGGGACTGGTTGTGACGCGAGTGGACACTGACCTTGTGTGTCGCGGTGGATGATGTGGTGGGAGTGGACACTGACCTTGATGTCGGTCGGGGTGGACGGTGTGACCGGACGTGGACACTGACCCTTGATGTCGTGGTGGATGGTGTGGTGGGAGTGGACATGACCCTTGATGTCGCGGTGGACGGTGGTGACGAGAGTGGACACTGACCCTTGATGTCGCGGTGGATGATGTGGTGGGAGTGGACACTGACCCCTTGGTGTCGGGGTGGATGATGTGGTGGGGAATGGACCTGACCCTTGATGTCGCGGTGGATGATGTGGTGGGAGTGGAGGCAGCTGACGGCCGACAGCAGCTGTTTGGTGTAGCGTCGGATCAGGTGCTCCGGCAGTCCGGACTCCACCGAGGCCGACAGGCTCTCCAGCGTGCCCTCGCCGCAAAACTCAATGAAGATGAACATCTCCTCCTGTCAGCAGGCGGGCGGTGTTGATAAACACGCCTGTCCGGCGACGGTCGCCGGCGCCCGCCAGCTGGCGGGGTGACTGCCGAACGTCTCCGGGCCGGCGGGGGGCCAGCCATGCCCGACCCACGCACACGTCACCCCCGGCCGGCCGAACACGACACGCTCCACTCTGGCGATGCGCCCCACCCACACAGCCCGCGCCGCAGCTGTCTGGCGGCTGGCCGGCCGGCGCGCCAGCGGAGATGCCCTCCTCTCCTCTGACAGCAGCGCGGGTCAGGCGAACCTCGACCGTTCTTCAACTGTTGAAGAACAGAGAGAGCGTCTGGATGCGCACGGCCGGTGATTCATGGCATGCCACGAACGGATGGCTGGCATACGCACCAACGTGATGACGTCCGACATCACGCTGGGGATAATAATGGATAGTATTGTTTAGATGCTTCTTCGAATTGTGGCAAAAGGGGATGGCCCGCGTAGGTCCTGATGTCGCCGATTACTTATTATATGCAGATAGGCGCCACAAATGACCTGGGTACCAATGCATCATTAAGCGTCCAGACCGACATGAGATATCATCACAGTATTCCAAGCCCAGCGCAAGGCTAACAGCCTTCTCATCATTCCCCATCCAATATAAACAAACTGCAGACGACATATCAGCATATAACACAGCATCCTTGGCTGAGTGGCTGCCCACTAACGAGAGGCGCCAAGCTTTCAACCCCATTTAAAGTGTTTCGGAAATAAACCACGCCAGGAGCGCGGCGACAGGAAACACCTGTATATGTGGGCCCGGGGCTGCCAGCGTAAACGGCGCTGTGTGGTCCTCATTAGATCGATAGTGCGCCATAAACACGGGCCGCCGGTGCAGGTCCGGCGCCCGGAGCGAGCGGTCAGCGCCGGCCAGCAGCCGGCACCGATCCCGAGCAGGGCTCGGCTTCCGGCCGCCGCCTCGCCGCCTCGGCTCGGCTCAGCCCGCCCATTCTCCCGGGAGCCACATCGCGAGGTCCACCGGGGGCCGCAGCTGGAGCGGTGCCGTCGACGACGCTGGCCGCGCCGCCCACCGGCACGCGGCACTGTTCAGCGGCGGCTCCGGACACGCGAGACGGACATGTGAACGGGACACCAAACGCGGTGTCCCGTTCACATGTCCGTTTCACATGACACACCGGGACGCGGGACACCAAACTACATGTGTGGTGCTCGCGTTCTGGCGTCGTAATCAGCTGACATCAACACATGGACCAGATCAGCATGCACACGATACGCCAAGGCCGCCAGCCAGCCGGAGGCCTTAAGCGGGCCGGCGACGCCCACGGCATACTAATCCGCACCTCGGCATACTAATCCGCTCATCGGCATAATGATCCGCTCCTCGTTATACTAATCTACTCCTGTGCATACTAATCCGCTCCTCGGCATACTAATCCGCTCCTCGCCATACTGATCCGCCCCTCGTCATACTAATCTACTCCTCGTTATACTAATCCGCTCCTTGACATCCTAATCCGCTCCTCGGCATACTGATCCGCCCCTCGGCACACTAATCCGCTCCTCGGCATACTAATCCGCTCATCGGCATACTGATCCGCTCCTCGGCATACTGATCCGCTCCTCGGCACACTAATCCGCTCCTCGGCACACTAATCCGCTCCTCGGCATACTGATTTGTTCCTCGTTATACTAAACCGCTCCTTGACATACTAATCCGCTCCTCGGCATACTGATCCGCTCCTCGTCATACTTATCTACTCCTCGTTATACTAATCTACTCCTCGGCATACTGATCCGCTTATCGTCATACTAATCTACTCCTCGTTATACTTATCTGCTCCTCTGCATACTAATCTACTCCTCGGCACACTGATCCGCTACTCGTCATATTAATGTACTCCTCGTTATACTAATCCGCCCTTTGCATACTAATCCGCTCCTCGGCATACTAATTCGTTCCTCGGCGTACTAATTCGTTCCTCGGCATGCATGCAGCATGATGTGAAACGAGCCAGTGGACGACTGGACTTCGCCCACGCACCCCGTGTGTGTCTACTCCCCTAATCCAATTAAAGCACTCACAAAGACAAACGAGTCACTGATGACGTCGCAGGCACGCGGCAGGCACGCCCATCGTAGCAGAATTGTACAACTGTGGCAAACACAACGTTGCTCTAGCTCAGCATACAGACATTCGTGACCACGCTCGAAGCGGCCGGGTACCGCAGAACGTCTCTGGCGGCTTTCACTGACCCTGTGAATTTCAACGCCGTAGTATTTGACGAGGTGCTTGTGGTTTGATGCCCTCGAGGATCTTGAGCTCCTCAGCCACGGAGCGGATCGTCTTGTGGTCGTTGGGCTGCAGGTGGATCTCCTTCATGGCCATCAGGTCGCCGGTCTTGTTGTTGACGGCCGTGTACACGCGTCCGAAGCGACCCTGGCCTGCCGGGGGACGGGCGGACCGGGCTGAGTGGCGCGATCCGCACACGGGACGGCCTGGCGCCGCAGCACGACATGACACGGGACGGCACGGGACGACACGGCCCGGCTGTGACACGTAATACCATGCGCCGTTCGGGATCATGGCACCGCGGTTAAGTCTTTACGGGCTATCAGGGAGGGCTTAAAATAGGTAAGAAAGATGGCAATTAAGAAACAACGAATAGACGCAGTAAATCGATTTCCGCATCAGCGAGCCAAAGCTGCTGTCATTCACCACCCAACAACGACGGAAAGATCTGAATTGCTTGGCTGCAGAATCCTGATGGCAGACGTTTTTTTGATGATGACTGCGTATGCATTATCCAATATATATATTTTTAAAACATGGGGACTGGATCCCGGTTTGGCTGAAGCTTTTCTGTTCTTGCGTTGCAATTCAGGCCGGTTTGTAATCTTGCTTCCGTTGGGAACATCCACACTGGATATTTTCGATCGTTTTCATCTTTAACGGAGCAGCTGACAGGTAATTTTGTTGCCACCGAAATACCAAACAGGCACTCAATCTGGGGACCCAAATGCATGACTTATGGTTGACAGTTTATTTACCATCCCCACGTCTTGCATTTATAAAAAGGGTTACTCTCGTCCAATCAGGCATCCGACGACTGATAACCGGTAGACCGAGCTCGCGGCTACTCTCGCATCCACTCAGTGCCAAAGAGGGTCTCGAGTAATTCTGTAGTAAAGTCAAAGGCTTTGAAACAGTCGGGGCGCAGCGCATGGATGGCGGAAGACTTGACGACCAGAGACACCTCCCGCTCCTACATCCTGACCATCACGCGAAGGTAAGGCTCATGAAGTCTGGGGGACCCTTAGAGCAAAACCTTTTGCAGACGACATAACAGAATAGATAATGCGCGAATACGTGCTATCAACAAGCTCTTTCAATTCACCCACAATGCTTGCCAAGGATTTGCAGAAAGAACTTGCACTGTGGAGCAGAATTAACATTCTCTAGAAGGTTCAAGGACCGAAACTGCAGCACTTATCATACGGACAGCCTACTGACTGGAATGTATTCATCAACGAAAATTTAACCCATCTCCGCTGCTCGAGCACCAAATATGTGTTGTTTTCTGGTCAGCTGAGAGTAGCTGTGACGAGCACACCTAGGTCGATGCCCCTTAATAAATCGTCTAGCGAGAGGTGGCCGGTCGTGGAGCCAAACTGGTGACCAACAGGAGCCAAATGATTCACGGCAGCAGAAATAGGCCAATCCATCACAACCACGGCCAAAAATAAATACTCGCGACGGCACGTGTCCACCATCCCCGGTCACCACGCGGTCCCATCAAAATCGCAACAACATTCGAAATGCGCCGCCTGGGCCTCCAGGGGTAGTCACCGCCTCGATCACGCCGTAAGTTGACAACCCCATCTGTCAACGAACAACGGCCACCCCGCCGACGCCCACGCCACGCCGCCGCGACCCGGCGCACCAGGCAGCCGCCCGGCTCGCCGCTGCACGGCGCCGGCGCCTCAGCTCGCGCCCGCCGCGCCTGTGGCTGACGTGACGCGGCGTGACGTGACGTGACGGCCGCGACATGACGCCCGGCACGCTGCGAGGCGGCGGGCGTGGACGCGCGACGCCGGCGGCGACGGAGTGGCGGGCGCCGTCGGCCGCGTATACAGCGCTATCGGGCCGCGTGCCGGGCCCGGCGGGGGGCGCCGGCGCCACCGGAGGCCCCCCTCGGCTGTCGCTGCTGTCCTCGGCCGTTGTAAAGCTGGCGTGAGGGCTGCGCCATCGTGCCGACGGCGATGGGGCCATCCAAGCCGGTTCAGCAGCGCCCAGGGTCTGGCCGTCGCAATCAAGTGCTTGTTGGTCTGCTCAGATACGCCGGCACGTAGCGGGCGTCTACCGGCATCAATTGGATCATCCGGTACGTTAAACTGGTGCGTATTCGGATACAGAGACGATTTTCCATTGCAGAGTTATTTCCGGGCAAATAGAAACTGGATTGCTTCCTGCGCAGCGAAGGAAGTGAGGTTTCCAGTCAGGCGCGTTAACAATCACGCATCGTGAAGGCACATCGATCCCGAAGGTTCACCTCGTAGAGTGGAGAAGCGGTGTGGACCACACGACAGAGAGACGGGTGGACCGCGACCGTGGGCGCGAGCCGCCGCCACGGCCGCGGCGCGAGCCGTGCAACTCCGTGACCTCGGGCCATGCGCGGCAAGTTCGGTGGTGGCGGCGGCGGCGGCATGTCCGCCGCTTCCGCCGCCGCCGCCGCCGTCGCCAGGAATGCTGCACGGCCGGGCCGACGCGCGATACGGTATCGGCCCGGCAGCCGACCGGTGCCCTGGGGAGCGACCGGTAAACAGAGCGCGGCGCCCGGCGGAAGGGTCGAGTCTGGGCGGCGCGCCGCGCGGCGGACGTGCCGACCGTGACGACGACGGCGGCGGCGGCGGCGGCGGCCGGCGACACTGAGACGGCAGCGTCGGTGCATGTGTGAACTGACGCCACGGACTCGCCGATGCCGCGGAAGGGACACGAGGGGGTTTACGGAAGAAAATTGGAAGGGGCGCGGGTATCACGGATGGAATCATTGTTCGGACTATCGCCCTTGTCTGGTTTATTAGCATGCTCACAACGTTTCGGCTTAATAACTCCGGCCCATGTCAGGCGTTATTGAGTTCTGGGAATGGCTGGACGATGTTCAGGTTTCAGCCATGTACACGTCACAGTCCGAATAATCTCTTCGACATTGTTGAGACTGGAACCAGGATTTTCTAATTATGAGTGCAGTGTTCTACCACCTGAGCTAACCAGGAAGGACCTTCGTTCATTCCTTTCTTTCCTTCAGGTTAGCTCAGTTGGTAGAGTACTGGACTCACCATTGGAAGATTCCGCTTCCAAGCCCAGCAACCGCAAGAAGATAATTTTGACTGTGCCGTGTACACGGCTGAAAGCCAAACATCATCCAGTCCTTCACAGGATTCAATCCCACCCGCCGTAGGCCGGAGGGCTTACTGACCGAAACGATGTATACATACTAACACAGCAGACGAGGAAGGTTGTCCGAACAATTACTCCATCGGAGATACACTGTTACCTGTCGATGACAGAGGGTGTAAGCTTCATGCTTGGATCTCATAGCAGACTCTAAACACGAGCGACGTCGACGACGTGAACGCCAGCACTGACGCCAGGCTATCACACAGAAGGCAGCAGGTGCACGCCCGGGTCCATCTAATCACTCTAAAACCCCAAAGCCGCGCGCGAGAGTGATACAAGAGCAAGTACCATTCTGACACGTCGCACCGCTCACGACCTGGAGTCCGTCGTCGTCGTCATTGGGGCTTTACGACGCACTTAGCTGCTGGGGCTATGTGGCGCCGCCTGCCTGGCAGGAAGGGTGGGCACCGAGGGGAATCGAACCCCGTACCTCTGGTTTCCCAGACTTGGAGTTCTCCGAGCCAGCCTCTGCTGGTGACACAGTCGGGGATGCCAGGCTCCCTCCATTGGGACAGCTCGTCTGTGTAGTCTGACGTCGCAAGTCTGGCTCGGTCGAGACCACCCGCGTCCAGCGGGGACAGCCGCCGGAACAAACTCCACTTGGATCGCAGTTCTCGCACGGGTCACTGCTACTTCCGAACGTACAGATGTCATAAATCCAGCAAACGGCCGCCAAATACCGACATGGTATCAGCAGGATCAAGCGACATGTCGCGACAGCTCACGAGCTCAGTGCTGAAACTGTTGGCAAGCTGTCGTCCACTTGGTGAGCACGGCAACCCACGAGCCGAACGCTGACATGACGCCGACACCAGGCTGTCACCCAGGGGTCAGCAGGTGCACACGGCTCGGATGGCAATTCATAAACGCTGACACACTGTGGCCGTCATTTCGGAAGCCCTAATTTGTACAGAATCTTACTATAGCAATGAAGTGATGTTATGACTAATCTGGCAAAATAGGGAGAGAAAGAACACTGACGGCAGAGGTGCTGACCATTGTACGGCGAAGTTATGCGAGGTGTCAAATGCAAACACGCCCGGGGGCGTGCGCTTAAACCACCAACGATCAATGGTGGAGTAATGGCCGACGACCAAAACCTCGAGCAGTCAAGTCATCTAATTCTGAAGATTGGTAGAAAGTCAGGACAACGCCTAATGCTCAATAAGCTCATCGCCTGATGGGATTCTCCCAGAGCCCGCTGGAAGATGGGATCCAGCGAGCTTGTGGACCTTCCGGGCTGATGGCTCGTGAGCCGTGTGGTGGAGGTAGCTCCTTGGAAGGGCCGGGCTGCTGCTCGGAGGCGGCAGGGTCGCGAGGCCTTCAGCATCTCGCGGCGCTCGCCGGGGGCGGCGTGTTGGAAAGCTCAGCGGCGGTGCATGGTGACGACAGCGAAGCGCCCCCGATGGTCTACCGGCAAAATACCCAGTACCACTCGGCCGCGGACAAAAACGCTCCTCGCCTGGCAAAGAAGACCCTTTGCCGGGGCTTTCCAGCCAGCATAGCTGGCGCTCGGACCCGCGCATGCCGAGGAGATCGCCGCGGACGCCGTGTGTCGGCGATCAGCCAGCCTCCCAGATGTCCACGGCATCCCATCCTCACGCTCCGCGCTGGCAGCCGGTCGCGGCTGAAGACCCCGTGGCCTCGTGCGGCCGTCACGACCCGTAACATGAGGTCGGTCCGTCTCAGCTCTGGAATCCATGTGATCTGTCAAATGCCTAGTGTTGATTTGGCAGCGAGTGTTGATTTCCACCCGCAGCGCCACTCCTCGTCTGGCTTTCAGAAGCGCGTCTCGCTCGCGAGTTGCGTATACGTGACGAGACAAGATAAGGAGATCTTTGCAAGAACGCTGATCGCAAAGCCATCCCTGGAACATCGGCCGACGCCGCTCATCCACGGAAAATTATCCTTTAAGGGAGGCACAGTAAAGGTGGCGGCCCCCGGCTAAGAGCACGAGCCCACCCGGGGGCTACCAATCCCAATA